GAAAGCGGCCAACGATGCCAGACACCCAGCTTCAGACGCTTTTCATCATAACATTACCCACCTATGTGACAGACCGGTCAGAGACATACAGAGACCAGCAGCCTGGGACGCTGCACTAGAAATTAACGATGATGAGGACTTAGCTAGGACTCTAGAGGCAATCGTTAGGTTTGTCCCTCAATTCCCTCCATGGAGACTAGAGCTGCCCAGGACAGACATGAGTCTGATGAAAATTATTAATAAGAATACTGAAACATTTGAAGCCAAAGCAATAACAGAAGAATGCATAGACCAGATCCGATCAGACAATCTGGTTGCATACACTGACGGATCTAAGAATGAAGCAGGAGAAGTAGGAGCAGGAGTAATAATCCCACAGTGGAATATACAAAGAGAATATAAAATAACAGATCATGTGGCAGTATGCACAGCAGAACTAGTCGGCATAATGAAGGCACTAGAGATGGTAATTAATAAACCTCCAACTAAATTTACCATACTGACAGATTCATTGTCCTCAGTGCAGACGTTAAAAACACATAAAACTAGTAGTAGACCAGATATTAAAGAGATAATCCTAAATTTAACAACCCAGCTCAAGAATAAAGGATGCCAAGTCACTATTGCATGGGTACCGGCACACAGAGGTGTAATAGGCAATGAAAAAGCTGACATAGCAGCCAAAAAGGGAGCAAAATGTGATGTTTTAGTAGATGTAGGACTCGGAAAGACTGAAAGGACTAGCATAATCAAACGACATATAATTAAAATGTGGAAACTACAATGGCAAGGGAGCAATAAAGGCAGAGATGCCTACAATAACCTTAAAGAGCCCAGCCTTAACACACAGGTACGGGACAAACTGAAAATCCCAGATAACAAACTACTATGGAGAGCTAGGTTAGGGTGGCATCCAGAGAAATTTACATCTCCTCTATGTCTGGACTGCTTTCAAAATAATACAATAGAGCATTATATAATAAACTGCACTAAATATAAATTGGAGAGGAAACCCATTGAGGATTATTTTCTAAAACGCAAACAACAAATTACTGCAAACAAATGTTTAAAGGTAGATAGCAATAGAGACATCCAAAAGCTAGTTAAACAATACTTTTTAAAACAAACCCACACTAAAAAGACAAGATTAAGGATCTACTCAGTACAACAGAAGGAGCTGATCAGATGGTAACACCGCACACCCAAGCGTCAGAGAGGTAGTGTAAGTATGATAAGTGCATAGATGTGAACTTGGATACATACACAAGGATGAGTGAGTGTAGTATGAGTGCATTTATGGATACAGAAGACACAGTGTATGTAGATGGGTGGTAAGGGATCACGTATGGATAGGACAGTGGGAATATAGCTGGGCGAAAGGTACAGATGAATGAGTACATGGATATAAAAATGTATTACTGTATGCATGTATATGTGGGTATAAGTGTGCATGTGTGTATATATATATATGGGAGCGTGATATTTGTGAGTATGAATGACAGTGCACTCAAAGAACCGACAAATTGTGTTGCTGCATGTCTGTTAATTAATGAGAACATGGAATGAGGTGTGTACGCAGCAAGAAGGTCATTATCTACCAAAACATGGTAAGACAGTACCGGGCAGGTCACATACAAGTAACGAGACATAACTTAAAAGTGACACGACCAGACGATACTACAGACATAGCGACACAAAACACACAAGACATGGAAGAGTGAATGTCACTACGTGTGGATGTACTTGCATATAAAAGAGTTTGCGTGTGTACGTAATGTCAATTAGGTATGCATACATGGATAAGTATGAAAGGACGTGCAAATATGTAGTGTTGTCTACGTGTATGGGTACTCGAGTACATGTACGCATACACCTAGTTGGGTGCGTCCATGTACTCCGGGGATTCATACACAAAACCATACCATTCAACAGCATGCATACAACATGCACATGACCGACAGGAAAACAACAAGATACGACTGACAGTAAATACTGAAAACAAGTGACTCAATAATGACAGGACTAGAACACATAACCACTAATACCACCCCATCACTGTGATTATAGCAAAGGTTGGTAACGTGATACACATAGTCCGGGCAAAAGGCCACGCTAGAATCCAGCAAGACGGCAACGACGAGAAATGACTGAATGGCCTCCCGCCCCTTTCCCCTTACCCTTCCCTAACTTTCGGATGCACTATGAGTTTAACCCCCCAACCCATTCCCACAGAGAGCACTTGAGTTCGTTGTCCAACATGCCACAGCAATTCTTATCGCCGAACATTTGGATCTCAAAGCGTGAGCTGGATGCTCCGGTTATATGGTATTTACGTACACCGGAGTTTAGCTGTCAACACAACCCGACCACATAATAACAGATGACGACTGGACCCGCTTAAGTCACCACATAAACTCTCACATACATATCCATTACATGACTAACCCGTTCATATTACAGGAAGACAACTATAAGACCACTATGGTCACACGCGGAACATTTTCACTTTTCGGAACTATTCAAATTCAAAACTGTTTTCAGTACTTTTTGGCATAATTTAAATACTCAAAATTTTAAAACAATAAATGGTGGTCCAAAGGACGTTGTGTATGGAAGCTCGCTCTCCTTCGAGATACGCCTAGCCAGATCAAAGGGAGACAGAACAAACAGGAAACACCAAGAAAGAAGAAGGAAGACATGCACCAGTGACAACAGGACGAGCGGTTTGATTCGGACGGAAGCATCAAGCCCAGAAATGGCACAAACACTAAAATTCAGTCACGAAAGTGACGCAAATAACCCAGACCACAAATATAGGCGGAGACTGCTAGTAGCCTAGGCTAGCTAGCAGCAGTCTGAACGTGGTCGAGCTTTTTTTTTTTTTTTTTTTTTCTCAAAAGGACTTGGACTTGGACTCCGCCGCCCAAGCCACTCCCACTTACCTCACTCTGACAGAAGCAACAAACCTCAGGCAGAAATGTAAATCGCCACAACAGAAGAAGTTGATAACTGGAAATACGAATTCCAGACACCAAAATTCCGACCTCGATATAACCAACGCTCAGTCTAGGAGCCGGTTGAAAGAGGCACGAAGTTTTTTTTTTTTTTTTTTTTTTTCGAAAACCAAGTATTTGGCTAGTTGTGCGTCCACTCTGCCTGATTCCTCTTGAAATCTGGCTGATTCCTCTCTTTCTGCTTGTTCCTCTCTTTCGGCTTCGGCCAGCCTTGCTTCGAATTCTTTCTCTTCTGCTATTGCTGCGGCGGTTGGTTTTGCTTTCTGCGGTTTTTTGCGGTTTTGGACTGATAGCCTTTTCCGTTCCGCTTCTTTACTTGCATTTTCCCTGGCGTCGATCACTTTATTAGTGGCTTGCAGTGCGGCGCTCAGTTTGGTAAATTCTTCCTTTGCCTTGGCTAGCTCTGCTTTTGTTTCTATCGATCCTTTCTTGGCATCGGCGACATCATTTAGTAGGGTTGTATGGTTTCTTTAGATCTCTTTGGCGGATTCGGCGTCTGCTACCTTCATCTGGATAGATAAGCCGCTGCAACACAAGTAGCTGCAAGAAACGCGCTAAAACTTTGGCAATGTCTTGAAAGACACACAGACAGCGGAAAAGCCCACTATTGCCTCGAAAATATTGGACTCACCAGTGACGTCATTTGTGGTATGAATTGTTGGGAATGTACCCATCCCCTCCCCTCTCCTCGCAAACACAATTACAAAAACATCCCAACAGTACAAGAGGGCGAGGCTTAAAAAAATTAATGCCTGGTACCTATACTCCACCAATATTTGGAAGAGAGTAGAGCAAAGTAGGAGACAGAAAAAGACACCGGGTAAGAAAAGAAGGAGCTACTTATAATTATTTGTTGGCGTTGTTGGTAGCCTGTTATGATGGTGGTGATAATGATGCATTTTTAAACTGACCCCACAACTCACCAGCATTTGATAGAGAAGGAGACGGGAAGGAAGAAAAAAGACCGGGAGGGCAGAAGGAAAAGGGGGGGGGGGGGGACATTCTTTTTTTATGCCGGTGATGTGTGTGTGTGTGTTCAAATTATAATTGTTATAGTTTCACTTTTTCAAGAACGCTGTAATGCTATTCCACTAAGGCTCCATCTATCTGCCAATGCTCGTTAGCACCCTTTAGTTTGAAACTGGCAGTTCACGGGAATGTATGATCTTCTCTACCACAGACCGTCTTTTGACAGACACCAGTCACTCTGACAATCTCAGACTAAACGGCGACTCCTGCTGAAGGTAGACAGCCAACTATTCACATGTTTGCGCTAGGAAAGTTTTGTTACCCTGCAGAGTTTGCTTCTCTGGTTCAAAGGTGTTACATTTCCTTCCAATAAAGAAATGGGTTAGTTTCCCCCCTCACAGGCAAACCACCCGGCTCTAAGTCTGGAAGGTTCATGCTGTAATATTTACTCCCATGACGTTTTTTTGGCCAGACCAGTGCACATATAAAAATTTCATCCTTGTTTTTTTTAGATCGTTTATTGGTTGAATTTTGGTTTACATTATTTCATATATATTTACACGCGCAAACATAATAAAATGGTAAAAATGATGATATGGCACATTTACTCATTTATTAGCATTCTGCTGAGAAACAACCGACCCGGCTGCTTCGAGATACCAGATAAGTTATTTTTTGTATCTGTCTAGTATTGTTTCATTTGTATGTGCTGATGACGGCTCAATAGCTGCAACGTTCACATTTTGTTTGTTTTTGTTATATTGTGAAGCTTGCTAATATACTTTTCGTTCGGTTTTATATTTTTTCTTGATTCTTATTCATTAAGATAGTTATACTCAATGGAAGCAATGGGTCTGAGTCTCTGTGATTCTATTTCTAATTTTTGCTTTTTTCATACGTACACCCCCCCCCCCCTTTTTTTTTTCCATTCTAAAAAAGTATATACACTCTCTTTTTCCCTCTCAGTTTCTTTCTCTCTTTCTCCCTCCCTCCATTCTACGACGCTGTCCAGTGTGGTCACGCAAGCTCCGAACTGCCCAACATCATGAGGCCGAAGTAACTTGACTGAGGGTGGTAGCTGATAAGACCCAGCCCGGATATTTCCACACTCAGGTGCTCTCCCTGGTTCAGGATAAAAGCTCCACCTGAAAGACACAAGGTTAGGTTAGGTGTGTATCCTTTACAGGACGTTGCAGAACCAACCACAGCAGCCCCTGGCTGTTGTGTGGTTTCTCTAGGTAAATTTACGTCCAGTAGTTTGCCATTGCCTCTGGACGGTACCACCTGATACCACTGTCGAAACCAACTCAAGGCGCATTACCCGCAGCTGGGATCGAACCCGGCACCTCGGCGTTACGAAGCGTTCGCATCGACTTAGTCACAGAGCCGACTGAAACACACACCACCAGTATTAACTGGAACGGCAATGGTTCCCTCATTCCTTATCCATAGGTGTTTCTGGAACGCATTTTTGAATGTTTGCATTTGCCATCCGCGCTTTTTCTATTTATATGTGATAATTCGTACTATCTATATGTCGGTAGCTGTGGTTTAGACGTTGCGAACGCGCTTCGTAACCCCGGGGTGCCGGGTTCGATCCCAGCTGCGGACCGTTTGCCTTGCGCTGATTCCGACAGTGGTACCGAGAGATGACCTTTCAGATTTATAGATAAACCGCACCAGATAAAAATGTCGGGTTTGGTTCTGCAACGTCCTGTAAAGGCTAGGCATAAGCTGATTATGTATTGTTATGAGAGAGCCTCCATGGTGGAGGCAGACGTTTTTTAATGACCTTGATTTTCAGGTCGAAACAACCTTAAATGGGTATCAGGTTAGGTCCAGGAAAGTAAACGCGGCCGGTGTGGTGCTGACCACATCAGCCACCGAGTATCGATTGTTGTAAACAATATAGGTCTAGCCCTATATGCCTAAAGGCGAGAAAAGAGTACTCTATTTTACTAAATTAAAATCTTCGGAGAGAAAATGCAATTGCACTATAAAATATGCTTATACATTGTAAGATTTTCTTCTTTGTACACCGGCTGTAAGCTCCGACGGAAAGTCCTGGTTGTTCGTCCATATGGACTTTGGCTTTGTGCTAGAGCCTGAGTTTTGCGTCTACGTCCATTTTATTGGCTTATCTGTGTGCAGTTCGTTGCTTCTTGCCGCTCGGGCAGATGCACTCCGACTTCGAAGAAAGCCTACAATTAATCGACTCATACGACATGCTTGTTGGAGAGGCAGTAGGTCTATTCTTGTCCCCCTCCCCTCCCCCAATGGGACCCGTAAGCACACGGGGAATTGTAAGATCTAATTATAATCTTGAATGCTTGTCCTTAAAAACATCCAAGAAAGAGTTTTCCCTTTATTGTATGGAGAACAGTACAAGAGTGCGTTTTCTTCTTCTGTAAGACCTGCTATAGGCAACTGAAAGCAATAGGTTCGAATCCCTGTACTTTTATAGCTTATACTATTTGTTTTTCTCATGTCTGCCTTGCCCTCTGATCTCTACTTCTACCAATATTTCACTATGAGTGCAAATCAATACATGAGATTTAATTCCTAATAAATAGACAACGATCACAGCGATGATGGAAACTTGGCGATTATGAATATGGTAATGGCTATACAGAGATTTAGGTTTAGACGATGGATCAACATCGTGGCACAAAGGTAGTAACCCATAAGTGGTACATTCTGCTTCTGACTCGAGCCTGAGTCCAAAGAATCTCAGCGCTGTGCACGAATTCCATAGTGCCGACGAGGATCCTGGAACCACTTGTTTGCATGTAACTAATATTTGTGTATATCATTTGTTTGGTTTTTTTTTTATAATTTTTTTTTTCTCGTTAATGCCCAGAAGCTCAGGTATAGGGGACAGTTAGGTTCAGGGCATCAGGCCTGGTAGAGTTAAACTCCAAATTCCCGTTAGGCTACTCTATTTCGATTTCCAACTGCCAAGGGATTTTTTTTTTTACGTGCGCAACATTGTACACATGCGTCCGGTCTTACTACCCAGAGACCAGGGCAAATTGCTAGAGGTCCACCTGAAAAAACTTCCAGCCTTCATTTAGAGGTTTGGAGTCTGCCCTAATGGTAACTTATCAATCAGCATGTCCTTTACAGAACGTCGCTCTCTTCGCGGCACGAATGAAAGTCCCCTTTCTCTAGCTAATTCTCCAGCCCTGTGTGCTTTCACAGCCAATGCATCTTCAAAACCCTGTTGGTTGCAGAGTTAGGTCGCTGTCTTGTTGCCCGGAAATTGTACCCTCTATCGCCGTTCTCTTAACATGTTTACCATGTTGAAAATGTCTTGACTTTCCGGACAGGATGCTGATCATGAGCCAGTTTTCCTCGATGTAGGATAGTAACATTAGTAAAGAACCCTTTTCCATGCCTTCAGGCGTATTGGGCATATAGGGCTAGACATGTATTGTATAGACCAGTCGGCACTTGGTGGGTGATAGGACCAGTATCACGTTAGGCGCCTTTATTTCCCAAGATTCCACCAGGTACCCATTTAAGGATGGACCGACCTGGAAGCCAATGTCCTTTTTTTTATGCCCGTTACAGTCAGGAGCCGAACCAGTCACATTCCGATCCGCAAACAACAGTTTAGCCGCTACACCACGATGGCTCTCTTCAACGCATAATGTGAATGTTTCCCTTCTTCTTGGTCCATGGTATTCTAAAATATAAAAGTCTTCAATGTATAATGTCGATGTTTCCTTCTTTTTGGTCCATGGTGTTCAAAAAAAAAAAGGCTTTAATGTATAATGTCGATATTTTTCTTCTTATTGGTCCATGGTATTCTAAAAAAAAGTTTTCAGTGTATAATGTCGATGTTTTTCGTGGTTCTTCGTCCAGGGTATTCTTTAAAAAAAAAAAAAGCCTCCAATAAAAATAATGTCAATGTTTTCCTTTTTTTTTTTTTTTTTTGGTACATGGTATTTTAAAAAATAAAAGTCCTCAATGTATAATGACGATGTTTTCCTTCTTCTTGGTCCATGGTATTCTTTAGAAAAAATCTTCAATAAATAATGTCAATGTTTTCCTCCTTTTTGGTCCATGGTATTCTTTAAAAAATTATCCAGTGTATAATGTCGATGTTTTCCCTATTCTTGGTCCATGGTATTCTAAAAAAGTATCCAGTGTATAATGTCGACGTTTTCCTTCTTCTTTGTCCACGGTATTCTAAAAAAAAGTCTTCATTGTATAATGTCCACGTTTTCCTTCTCATTGGTCCATGGCATTCTTAAAAAAAAGTCTTCAGTGTATAGTGTCGATTTTTGTGGGTAGCGTGTCAGTTCAACAGCTCCGAAGGTTTTTTTTTTTTCTCAAAGACTAAGAGTACATGACTCACATCTATAAGCTGCCAAATAAAAGATTCATAATGTCAAAATTGTGGACTTCGGCTCGCTGGCACGTACTTGTACCTAATGTTAACACACGGAAGTAAAAGTCAACTTACCAGCAAAGCTAGTCTCTCTGTCCCTGGTACAACTATCGCAGCAAGTATGCACAGACTTGAGGATGTCGTGTTTCATCTGGTCTGTAGACGTCTTGACAACTTTGTGCTCCCATACCTGCGAATAAATTAACAGATGTGTAGGTAACAAAAAATAATTTTAAAAAAAATTTGGGAGAGAAAAAAAAAAAAACCTTTTATACATCATTATAATCATCAAGTGCCTTGATAGCTGGCGTAGGCGTTCTTGTGACGCTTCAGATCTCGGTCTCTGATGATCTGGTCAATCCTCCATGCCACTGTCTTAAGCCATCCACCATCATTTCTCTTCGTTTGCCTCTCCTACCAGATCTTTCGAGTCGTCATGGTATTTTCCAACGCTCCTTTTCTCATTATTTGACCAAAGAACTTTGTCTCCTTTTCATTGTTTTATATAATGCTCTACTTTCAATAACTATTTTCAGGCATTCGATGTTGGTTGTTCTGGCAGTCCAAGGTATTCTCAACATTCTTCTCAAGAATCACATCTCAGTGGCCTCCAAGCTCTTCTTAGTTTGTTTGCTCAGATTCCAAGATTCACTGCCATTCAACAGAATAGACTCGATTTAACATTTCAGTACTCGTTTTATTTTATTTTATACAGTAAGCTTTTATTACTTAACTTGCATAAACTAACCAAAGAACTCAAAAGATACAAACAAACAAAACCGAACTTAATAAAAGCATATAAAGTGATGAGCAGTTTCATGCCAGTAGCGCATTGAGCATAGAATGGTTGACTGGTATATTGTAAGATTAGTTTGCCTTCGATGGGTGATGTGGTCAATATGTCGATTGTCACATTTACTTCCTATGTCATTTCCCAGTGGCCGTTCTAAGCTGGGTCGAACAGAGAAACACTGTTTATAAACTCATCACAAATGCGGATTCGAAAGAAAAGCTTTCAAGTCTTCATCCACTTTGTGTGACGTTTGCTTCACGATAGGGTTTCAAATAAAAACCTTGATTGATTGACGTTCAACCCCACCAGGAAGAACATCACCCGGAGCGACAAACAAAGTACCACCATTCGGAACAAGAACAAAACTGCATCTGACATTCAGACGAAGTATTTACATTGAATGAAAACCTTAAACGTGTGATAGAAATTTCAGTAACCATATCATTGTCTTGCAGTTTCAAGATGGAAACCTCACTTTTGACATGCACCAACAAGGAGCAGCGTCCTATTATCTCCGCAGACACTTTGCGGTATTGAATCACATCACGTGCAATTGAACATGGTGACGTCAAAATAACAGTTTAAAGGTGGCAAAACTCACTTTGGACATGCACCAACAAGAAGCAGCATCATAGTATCCTCGGTGACACGCTGCAGTACCCTAGCACATTAATGAGTGATAGAGGTTCTGGGTTTAATCCTCAGTGAGGGCTGGGATTTTTTTTTTCACGTGGACTTGGACTTCTAGTAATTTCCCTGGTATCTGAGTAGTGAGATCGGACGTGCGTGTGCGTTGCTGCGTACGTAAGAAATCCAGTGGCAGTTGGA